TGCCCTTTCCATAACAAATCTCTTTAGATCCCGTTCCACAATTTCATATTTGAAACACTCCTCTCCTCTCGTGGCCTCTCCGGTCTGTAAGCCCGCCTTCTCATTACCCTCTATTCGAACGTGCCCAGGTATCCAAGCAAAACCTACTCTATTTTCCCTTTCGCATCCCACTAACCTACCTTCTCCTACCATCCCACCAACCTCTACCTTTTTTAAAATCTCATGTAACCACGGTAATCCCCTGCCGCATTTCCAATATTAATCATCTCAATTCCGACCACCTCGGCTTCATGTTTTTTAGCCCCATCTGTATAAATCTCAACCACCTCCTGGCTTCCTTGCCTACCCCATAAGCCCTCTATCATTTATTTCCGTTTCCTTTCTCATTCTTCCCATTGCCCACTCCACATTCAAATTCCCATTTTCCACCACAATTCCAAAATTTAGCCATTCTTTTCTTTTAATCTCCTCCTTTTTTACTCTATGAATTAACCCTTCTAACCTATGCCACGCTCCAACTCATGGTGCCATATTTTCTAACCGCTCTTCGTCCCTAACGATCACTGATGAGGAGATGCTTTCCCACACCATCCCCGATCCTTTCAATCTATGCTTAAGAAAAAATCTCTCTACCAGAGCCTCGACTCTGGTTTCCAGGTCCATGATACCCGCCTCTACGTTCATAACGTTTATTGACGTTGTAATCCTGTACCCCATCGCCGTCCTTATTCCAGCGATATGTAACTTTTTTAGTTTCTCCATACCCTTTTTGTTTTCCCAAAAATACGCGATAATTCCATATTCTAACACTGATCTTATCAAGCCTTTGAAAAACACTATCATAGTGTTCGGCTCGATTCCTTTTCGAATTCCCGCTATATATCTTAGTAAGTCCAACCTCTTCTTGACTTTCAAGCATACATAATCTACCTGTTTTTCAAAAGCCAAACTATCATCCAGGATAATACCCAGGAATTTTACCTCATTACAGTTTCCAATTCTATCTTCCCCAACCCATATACTACAAGTTCTTGGTCCCCTAGACCTGCTTCTTGAGAAGTTTATTAATTGTGTTTTCTCAACAGCTAGGTCCATGCTTACCTCCCTCAAACCCTCTATTAGAGCTTCCATGGCTCGATACAGGGTATTCTCCCTCCTTCTTATACTCCCCCCTATTACATACAGAACGATGTCGTCTGCATACAATAAAACTTTTACCTCCTTCTGATTTATTCCCTTAGTGATATCCGCCGTGTAAATATTATATAATAGCGGGCTTAGAACCGATCCTTGGGGGAGACCCCTCTTAATTTCCCCTCTAACCTCAGACTCATATTTCCTTTTGCATATTGCTTTCCTGTTTTCCAGCCAATTTGCTATATACCTCAAGATTCTGTCAGGACACTTCTTTCTCCTTAAGATTTCCAATAGCTTCCCATGCTTGACTGTCATAGGCCGATTTCACATCCACAAAGGCTGCCAATACCTCTTCCTTCCTTCTGAAGGCTGCCTTCACGTCTGTTGTAATTGTAACAATGTTATCCATAGTTGACCTTCCTTTCATAAAATCGCTTTGGTGTGGGCCCACTATTTCGGCTTCCTCTGTCCACTCCTGGAGCCTTCCTTTACTTTCTATAGCTTTCTAGGGACTTGCCCAGACAATCGATCATAGATATTGGCCTGATAGCCTTCTTTCCAGGTTTGTCTAAGAAACTGACTACCACCTCTTTCCGATTATCTGGTATCTTTCCCATTTTCCAGATCCGATTATACATTGTCAGAAGGACCTCATACATATCCCTATACGCCTTCCTGATAAAAGGGTATGTGATCCCATCCTCCCCTGGACTTGCTGTTATTCTGGATAACATTGCTGAGCTCTCTATAACAGAAGGACTCATTCACTTCGTTTTCCAGAAGGGATTTCCTACCATCCTCCCTTGTATCCAACATTTCCCTTGTCCACGGGAGCTCCTGGTTTGCAGTGTCCTCTTGGACATAGTGTAGTATTTTGCTTCGTCCCTCCTTGCTATCCACGCGCAATTCCAAAGGCTATTTCTTGCATTGAAGTCTCCCATCACAATACAGTAAAACTTGGATAAATTCAACCAAGATTGGGAGCTCCTGGTTTACCTAAGCACGGTATCGAAGCTCGGATGACACGCGACGACCAGCCAAGCGTGAACGTAGAAAGGGACAGACAGTGGTGGAAAGAGAGAGGTCCGAAATCAAAGGAAAGAGCCGAAACGTATCGGTGTGACTAATACTAATTGAATCAAAAAACTTTTTTATTTTTGACTTTTTTTGAGTGAAACTTTTACTAGCGTATTGGTGAGATTTTTGTGAGTAAAGTGGTACCAAACACGATATAGTTTCAATTATAATTACTTGCTAAAATTGATGTTATAAGTTGGCGAAAAGCAAGAGAGATCGAAATCCAAAACAGTCGCGGTGTCGGCTTTGGTTTCAAAGGTTTCATTTATCCTAGCGAGGAGTCGATTCTGGGCATTTAATGTTTCATTTATTCAAGCGAGGAGTCGATTCTGGGCATTTAATGTTTCATTTATCCAAGCGAGGTGTTGATTCTGAGTCCGTACACATGTTTTCTTTGCAGCCGACATGCCGATTCTGTGTCCGTACACATCTTTTGTATTCAGCCGACATCATTTATATTCAGTCGTGGTCTCAATTCTATGTTGTTTATTCTATTACTATTGTTTATAAATATAATTCAACCTATATCGAGTTTGGTATCATTTTAATCAGAAAAATCTCACAAATGCATTAGTAACAGTTTCATTGAGAAAAAGTTAAAAATAAAAAAGTTTTATCGATGAATTAGTATTAGTCACACGGATATTACGGTCGGATCATATTACACGGTTTCCTCGTCGAGCGGCTCGGTTCGCCTAGGGGGATCCCCCCAAGTGGAGGGGATAGCGATGTTTCATTTATCCAAGCATTCTTTCGTTGAATTTATCCAGGTTTTACTGTAGTATCAACCCCTGTCCTGATATTTCCGTCAAAAAGCGCTTCCCAATTACGTTTGGACCAGGGTCCCCCCGGCCTCCTATACGTAACCAAGATATCCATTTGCCTGTTTTCCAGCATAATCGTTATCCCTAAAAGTTCTCTGCCTTCCCCCCTCCAAGCTATATTTCTACGTATTCTGTAACTTATGTTTTTCCTAACTAAAATCGACACCCCACCTCCTTGTCTATCCTCTCCCAGATCTTTTCTAATCACATTATAATCCGTTACCACCAACCTATCTGAGTTCTTCAGCCAGGTTTCCGTGATTCCGAAAACATGGAACTTGGGTATATACTCCCTAAACTCCCCTAATTTTCCTCTAATACTTCTCACGTTCCAAATTCCTAAACAAACCTTACCTCCGTATGAGCCATTGTTCTTTTCCTCATAACTCTTACCAGGTCTCTTACTTTTCCATACATTCCATATTCAAATATCCAAACCAGTATGCGTGTTAACATTATTTACGGTTTTTATAGAATAAAGATTACGCATACCTAGAAAAGTATAAAATTTTAATAAAAATATTACACAAATGAATCATCGCCTTATATTTTATAAACACACAAATAAAACTACTAAATAAACTTTCTCGCGTCAAAAAGAAAGGGGAGCCACAAAAGGTGGTTGTCCCAAAATCAGACTTGGTCAAAAACCTCTTGCTCATATATATCATTCTAAGCTCTATCTTCCAAAAAGTTTTGGAAAGGGGGGGCCCCGGGTTGGGAACAGCCAAACCCGACGCTCCCTCTTCCCAGCGCTCCATAAAGGGGGGTTGATAGACCCCGTTCCGGGCGCACACGTCAACCATAGGGTTATAAAGGCAAATTCCAACACACATCATTACATCGCAAAATTTTCGGATGAAAAGACGGTCTCTCCCACCATCAAATAATATAAACCATAATGCAAGAAAATTAACACTAACCTTATAATCTGTTACACACTTTGTGAGATTATTCCCTCGTTCTAAAAAGTCCTTTTTTTGTATCGTATCTACCACGCAAAAAATGCAGTTGTTAGATCTCACGTTACTGCACCTGTCTGGGCGAAATCTCATCCTTAAACCTAAATTTGAACAAATGTACCAAAAAACATATTCGCAAAAAACAAACAGAGTTTTTTCCCACATGTTATCCGTATGCATGAGCAGAAAATAAAATAAAAAATAAAACGCATAGGCGGTATAAATGGCCGCAAAACGCGGACTTCCATGGTCTCATACAGACTACAAAAACCAACTGACCTTTTCCAAAAACCACAACCATACCAAAAACATAAACAGAAACATAACCATACATTCCACGCTCTAATCCTCACATTCTTATTGTTAGTCGAAAAGTTCGCCATTTCTAATTTTTTTTGATTGTACCCCCCATGGGGAACTCTCCGAAGGCTTTCTTTCTCAAACTTTCCAAACGCTCTACACTTTCTCGTCTTCTCTCTTCCGGTTCTGTAGTGTCTTCCACCTCTTCGTCCAGGTCCCTCCTCCAGGATGATGGACCAGGGGGGCTTTCACAGGTTCCCGCGTCTCCGCCTGTCGTTCTTTCTCTGCATCTCTCGCGGCAGCTAATTGCCTCCTTCTTCTCAATTTGGCTTTAGTTTTTTCTGGGATTGGGACTTCCCAGTCCGGCCTGTGTCTTGTGTTCGATTCCTCCTCTTCTTCCTCTGGCGTCCTTGGCTTATATTTCATCCTCCTGAGTGCGATTTCCACTTCTTTCTCATATCCTCTTTCAAAAACCAGGTTAAAGAGTTCCGTTAGGAATTCTCCTTCCCTTCTCTGCTTCAACTGGTCTGCTGTGTGTCTGTTCGCTCGCTGTTCCATTTTACTGAGCCTTTTTATGGCCGCTTCTTCCAATTTCCCGTAGCCAAAAGTATATTGCGTTTCGAAATCCTCTTCTGGGTCGAATTCGGGCTGCAGTTGAGTGTAGCGGTTCTCCCATCTTTCCTTTTTCATCTCGATAATCTTTCTCCTTACTAGGATTTCCCTAATTTTAACTGGGTCGTCTTCTACTATTCGAGTTCTTGCTCTCCCTCTTCCTCTGGGGGAGGAGCATTAATATTCGGTCTCATGCTCTCCACTACCTTCTCCCATCTTCTATCTTCCGTTTCTACAGGAGCTATTTTGTCCTTAGCAAATTTTATCGATTCCAACTCCTCTTCCAACGGGACCTCCTTTTTCTCCCAAAATTCCCTTGGTTTGGCCGCCAAGGCTGGGAAGTCTCTGGATCCTCTGTCTTTATCCTCTATAATATCGTCAGATATTCCTTTTTCACCCAACTGCTTGTAGACGATATCTCTGGCGGTAGCATACGCCAGGTTGCGATGAGCCATAACCTTTTTGATGGCTTTTTCCCTCTGGAACTTTCAGCATTCCCTTAGCCTTTTTGTCACAGGCTCCATGCTCGTTTTCCAAACACTTTATACATCTTTTGTACTTATTCCGGCACTGAATTTGGACATGGCCGAACGCAAAGCATCTAAGACATTGTTTTACTGCTTCCACGTAGGAGTACACCCTCACACCTACGTGCCCATGGCCTATTTTAAGTTCTGTGGGCAAGTGGCCCCCTTTAATAGTAACTAGGATGGCCAAACCGTCCACCCATTCAGCTTTTCCATCTTTAACCACTCGTTTCCTTAATTTCTCAAAAGTCAATTCCCCCTGGCCTGGCATAATTGCCTCTTCTAGCTCTGACACGGACTCTTCCCAATCTGTGATCACTCCCTTCCGCACTCTCTTTCTTTCTGGGAGGTATGCTTCATATGATGCACCATCTGCCTCCGCCTTCTTCAAGAAATCATTGGCGGCAGCCATTTCTGCAAATGTAAGTTCTGCCCTGTTAAAACCTACCATTTTAAGGCCTCTTAAAGAACGCCCCCTATTCGCAACCAATCTGTAGATTTTAATTACATTTCATCTTTTGCTTCTGGAAGTAAAATTCTTCTTCAGGAGGACTGCCTCTGTATACTCCCTATTTTTCAGTTCTTTTTCATAATAAGCTTTTTTTCTCTCACCTTTGTTGCGAGGTATACTTGTCGGGGTGCTTTTCAAAATTCTTCCAAAATTCGGTGTGGATTTCAAGATGCTTGTTCCTTGCCCAGAAATTCCAGCGTCCTTTGTTCGATTATCAGCCAGTTCCAAAGAAAACCGTTCCACGTGCTCTGCCTTTTGATTTTCGTTCAAAACATTTATTTCCTTGCCCATATTTTTAATTAAATTAGCGTTCCTTTTTATACCTTCTCCAGTACTTTCTTCCAAATCTTTTCGCTTTTATTCCTTGTTCTTTTCCTTTTATACTCTACTGCCGTCCATTCAATGGCGTTCGAATATTCCAAGTGCGCGTTACTTTTGACTCCTTCTTCTAACGGTTTATCCAACAGTTCTTCACCTTTACCAACCTCTATTTCAGTTCTTTCAAAGTCCTTAGCTTCAGTGCCTTTTCCCGTTCCGTAATTGGGCGAGCCCATGCCCCCCTCTGCTCCTCTTGCTCCCCATCGTCGTCCTGTGAGATTCTCTGCGCCATCTGGCGATTCTTCCTGCTTCTAATGCTACTTTCGAAAAACTCCTTAGCTTCTTTGTCCGTCTCCAGATATTCCAAGTCCCATTTACCATCGCTTCCCTTCGCATCTTTTCCTAGTTTCTTTGCCTTCCATTGCACCACACTCTCACTCTTACTTCTGCTCTTTATCATCTCTCCACGTTTCTTTAAATTCCCCCCAAGCGGCATTTTACTGCCGTTTGGGCGGTTGATCTCCGGGCGGAGGAGTCCCCCCCTCAATTTCCAAGGCTAGCAAAACCTTCTCCCAGCCCTGGTAGTGAGGAAAACTACCACTTAAAAAGTTTCCACCACTTTCTCAAGCACTAACCACTCCTTTTGGTGTTTTCCAATACAATTTATTCAAAAAACCCACTTCACTATAGACAAAACTCCCCAGATCTCTCTACGCTCTACAAACACGTCTGTACGCTCCGACCGCCAAGCGCCGAATTCTCCACTCCTGTTTCGATCCGCAAGCTTTGACGGAGTGGTAGCGATTTCATATAACATTTAGTCGGTGGAAACGGTTGAAACAGATTCAAAATAGATAGTGCCAACCTTTACTTTTTATCCGACTTCGAAAAGGAGGAGGATACTTAATTCGATGTGTATATATTTTTTTTTCTTTTTTATGTATGTTCACCAATTACTCCGAGACGGATGGACCAATCGGAACGAAACTTTTTGCATCTTGTAGAGTATTTCTCCCACTTGGTCCCGTCAAAAAGACATTTTGCATTTTTTTTATTGCTAACGATTTTTTTGCAAAGAACGTAATGATTGATTTACATTTTTCACCGATTACTCCGAGACGGATGGACCAGTCGGATCGAAAATTTTGCATCTTGTAGAGTATATCTACCGATTGGTCCCGCAACAAAATTGTTGTATTTTTTCATTCCTAACGACTTTTATCGCAAAAAGCGTAATACTTCATTTATAACTTTCGGCGTTTACGCTGCAGGGAATGTACCGATTTCGATGAAACCTTTCACATTTAGTAGGAGGTATATCCACCTGCAAAAATTTATGGAATTTGTTAATAACTACTGTTATAGCAAAAAATCTATTCCTTCATGTTACTCTGTAAGGAATGTATTGTTCGCGATGAAACCTTTCATATTTAGTAGGATATACAGGGTGTCACGTGACTACCTGGACAGCCGAAGAGTGATGATTGCTAAGATGATTCTAAACAACTTTTTCCTTTGTCAAAATGTTGGTTAAGGCTTGATTTTCGAGTTATTAACAAAAAACACCGATCAATCCGAGCGCGTACAGCGCGCGGTCTCAGGGACTGCAGTGTCGGCTACGAAAACCGGGTCTGACGTAGGTCGCGAACGAACGGCTTGGCACCCACATTTTTAGTCGTTGTTTAGAATGAATACAGAACCTAATCTCTTGTCCCCTGTCATAATGTAAAAAAGGAAATTCTTTTTAGAATTAATTCAAATAATTGAGCGAGTGATCGACAGAACCAAATTTATTAAGAAAAAATCAATTCAATTGAAAAAGTAACAATTTCATTATTAATTTTATCACATACGTTATAAAAATCTCTTATTATTAAAGTTTCATTCTGAAATACGAACACAAAATAACACAAAATTAAACTTACGACTGAAATTACTTTAAAAAAAAATTTTAATGTAATTCTTTGTATTGATTATGAATCCTTAACAATCAGCAAACTTATCGATATTATTGAAGATCATTAATAAATCAGCAGTATATGTATATGTATAAAAGATATTGCAAAAATCCTGTGGTTCAAGGTATAGGTTGTGATATGACTGAGGATGAGGGTATTTTAATCAATAAATTAAACCAAATTGAGCCGAAAGAATAATGATTATTTATTGGCTCGATAGACACAATAAGGGGAAAAAGCTCCGTTTCCCTGTCCCAGATTATTGAATAACCGGCGATTTTGAGTGGAATTGTCCGGATCCCTGGGAAATTTTATATACTCTGTCATCAGACTGCCTATTAGTAAACTCACCCTGAATACTATGCAGGAGACTGTGGGCTGAGAGACATTCATCGTGTCTCCCAGAATAAGTTACAATTATAGTATATATATAGATAATCTTAATTTCTTTCTACTTCTTTTAGTAGTAGTGATACTGATATATTCATATGACTTACTTGAAAACTTGCAGTAGCATAATACCGCAAACAAATTAACAGCTGCATCGCCTTGATATTCCTGGATGTTCATTCAAATTATTATCAATGTCCTCAATCTCCTCGATATCCTCGATATCCGCAAATTACATTTTGTACTTAATCAAACCATAATTAATCAAAATAAATTGTTCAACACTGCACAATAACACCTTCAAACGCGTGCTTAAGTCCTCAATATCGTCGACTTAAAAACATAACCTCAATGAAGCCAAATAAGAACTCGTTTTCTACAAATAAGGCGGACTTATTCGACTATGAATTCATAAGAGCTTAAGACTTTTTTAAGCATCGACTGTGAATCTATACCGATAAGCATTTACTTTTCTAAGCGACTGTGAATCTAACCGATGTCTTAAGCATATGCGACCAGCTTACAAATAAGTTGCGACTGTGAATACCGGCCCAGGCGTCGGCAACCTATGACAAATAACCCATTTGATAATTTCAAGTAAACAATATTCAACGGGAATCAACATACGCATTGCGGATTAACTATACTGCAGTTCACGAGAGTCTATGGACATTTTTAATAACGTGTGTGATTCCCCTCTACAGCTTGCTTCTTACTTTGCGATCAAGTAAGAAGATTTGTCCTTTGAAAAATAATAGGAATTTCATTGTATCGTGTATCTTTAACATATCATCCTCGGTTATCAGTTATCGTACGTCATATATTTCTGTCCACCATTTATATGATCGCAAAGTAAAAAGCAAGCTGTAGAGACCCAGGATATAGGGTCCCCAACGCCAGGCACTCCGAGTGGATGGTCAACGGAAGCATGAGACATGGCCACGCAGAAGAATCCCCCGGCGAGAAGGAGCGCGGACATCCCATCACCAGCGGCAACCCAGGCCAAAGCGGCATTAGGTAGACCCCCAATCAACCAAGGGTCTCGACCTAATTTTACCCCTAGAGAAAATCCGAAACGAACTGGTGCAGATGAACCCAGAAAAAGTACAAATAACAAAAATCGCGAACTTTAGTACCGCGAAATCAAAACGGGAAAATAGGCAGCTGCCTTTCTTCTTAGTACAGCTTTCGCCAGAAACCGACCTAAGCGCGGTCACGAAAATCAAACTATTTATGCACCAGGTCATCTCATGAGAGAGATTCATCAAACAAGACCCAACCACATGCATGCGCTGTCAGCGTGAGGGGCACACCGCAGGTAACTGCAACCTAGAATACCGATGCGAAAAGTGTGCCGACAACCACGAGCCTGGACAATGCAAATTGAGAAAAGGCGAAAGAGTAGACCCGGCCCAGTTATTCTGCATCAGGTGCAAGAGCCACGGACACCCGGCCTCGTATAAGAGTTACCCCAAATTTAAAGAATTTAAAGCGCGCGTTAGGGAGATAGCGGCCAAAAGAGTGGAAACAATAGCCCGAAGGCAAAATCGCGAACAGCGGGCTAAAGGCCAACGTAAGTTACGCAAACGCCACCAGAACAAAACCTAGTCTACAGCAGAGTACGGGTGAAAAAAGCCCAGGTAGCGCACCAGTCACCCCACAACAATTCCACACGCACTCTCCCCTAGATGTCTTATTCAACGATCTCAAAACATTCATGATGGCACAAATCAACAGAGTCGAAAATAGAATAGACGCAAATGCCCAAAGAATAGAGGATCTGCACCATGCCTACTACGGCACCAGCTTCTACCATCCGGAAACGGATACATCAAACATCTACAATGATTAACCACAATAAATTAAAAGTAATCTTCGCAAATGTGAATTCAATAGTCTCAAACGAACGGAAATACAACCTGCTAGAGCTTTTAAAGAAAGAAAAACCGGACATACTTCTCCTAAACGAAACCAAACTGAAATCACAGCACAAGCCCAAATTCAAAGACTATAATCTTATCCGCAACGACCGAAACAGCAGTAACGGAGGAGGAGTAGCAATCCTAATTAGAAGCAACATACAACACGAACAAATACACACCCCGCAGAGTCTATCCATCATTGAACACACAGCACTGAAAATCAAGCTAAGGAGCAACAAAAATCTACAAGTAATAGCAGCCTATGCGGCAGGAGCTCAAGCTGATGAATTCATCGCTAAACTCGACGCCCTTTTCAGATCCCTCGATCCCTTCTTTCGGTAAACAAATCGATGTTTTCAATCGATTCTTTGGTATTCGATTTTTCCTGGAATCGATTCTTTTATGTAAGAATCGAAGATCGATTTTTTGCCCTCTAGGAAATTAATTCTCACTTTTTATATTGATTTTTCGGTTTCGAATTTTTAGAAGAATCAATTTTTCTGATCCATAAAAACACATTCACTCCTAAAAAAGTATAAGAATAGTGATTAAAATATAAACAATGTGGAGCGCCTGATTTTGGTGTAAATATAAAAAAGTATAAAATTGATTCTTTACAATAATCGATGCCGCACAGAAGAATCGTATGGGATAGTCTGTTTACAAAAATTAAAATAGAAAAGGATACAAAAAAAAGTTAATTTTTTTCAAACCGATTCTTTTTAGACCGATTCTTGCAGAATCGATTCTTTGGTTTCGATTTTTTAAAGGAATCGATTCGAGAATTGATTCTTTCCGGTGAATCGAACATCCCTATCACACCGAGTGAAAGTAAATGTCAGCGACATCTGTCCCATGTAGTACATACTATAAAGTTATTATTGTGATATCTGATCATTGAATCTTATAAAACAAATCAGGAGCAATTTTTTGGCACCATAATATCTTTGTAAAAAGACCATTTACTATCTGCTTTGCAGATAAAAAATTTTTGCTTCTTTATTTGCGAATATCTTATTAAATATAATATTTGCGACTAGAGCAATTGTAGATTCCAAGGGAGCAAATGGGGAGCAATTTTTTAAGATACAAATCGTTAAGAAATATTAATATTCCTCGCCAACTTTACTTTGATGAAAGATCTGCGTGATGTCCAAGCCACTTAGTGATATTACGGTGTGTCGACAAGGCAGGAAATAGCCTTAAAATATTAAAAAATTTTCTCGTAAACATTATTTCTATATAAAATGAAGCTACTTGCAAAATTTCAGCCAAATCGGAGCATGGGCGTTTTCGAAAGCTTAGCCATTTACTTTTTTGATTTATAATAATTTATCGACCCTTTACTACTTTATGATTTAATTTATACATTACAATTAATTTTACAAAGCTGTATCAGATAAATATCATTAATAACGTTTTAAAAAATCATGCCATTCAATGAATTCAGCACCATAATGGCTTTCTATTTTCCATATACATATATTAAGTAATAAAATAATGGTACAAGCAGAAATTTCATAATAAAGATATCACATGTATACAAACCGTTCACAGGCTACAGTGATTAACTCTAATTTTCAAATTTTTCCGAAGCACTTAATTGATAATTAACTCGTCCTATTTGATAAATCTCTCTATTTTTTGTTCTTTGAAATTATTTAATTTGGAAAATGGGCCATTTCTATATTACACTTTTGGCTTTTGATCATATCTCATGTTTTGTGTCTTTACATAAATATTACATTATTGCATGAAAAAACAAAAATAAACTGTTTATGTGACATTAGTGTACTGCTTCATTTGCATCTTATGTTACGTTTCCATTACATGTAATTTTACTCTGTTAATATACATATATACACACGTATAGTAACTGAGATTAGTATTAACGCAAAACATGATATACTTTTTGATACAGACAAGTAATTTGAATCGTGATCGTGTTTATTTATATTTTTAATTATTATTGATGCACCGACAATTGCAGGTTTTGGCTAAACTTCCGAAAACCTCCATGCTCCGAATTGGCTCAAATTTTGGAAATAGATTCTTTTTCGATAAAAATGATGTTTGCGAGAAGGATTTTTGGTGACTCGAAAAAAAATTATCTGCATCTATATATTATTATCTACACTTTCTACAAAGCCATTGCGGCAGTTAAAAATCAATAGACGTAACGGGGGACTTAAAAATCAAACTTAATTGATATCAATGATTTTGGCATGCGTGGACGGCCGCCTCTCGGCGGCCGGAATATTCGTCTGTCCTAACCAAACCTAATTCACTGAAGTTAAAGCTTGGATTAGGTTTGTATAAAACTTTTATTGATATACAGGATATACATAATTAATATCATCAAGTAATTGATGATACATTGTAATACTAGTATTCTTGACACATTGATACCTTTTAAAAAACAATTGAAAATAGCAGATTTGACAGCATCAGAACCGCCTTCAAATCTGCCTCAAGTATTCCTGCCGTTATAATTGCGTCGGCAAAGTAGGGAAGGACACCCAAATGATAAAAACTTTTTTCTCGAGTCGCCAAAAATCCTTTTTAAAATCGTCATTACTATTAAAAAGAAACCTGTTCCCAAAATTTCAGCCAATTTGGAGCATGGAGGTTTTCGGAAATACAGCCCAATTTTTATTTGAAACATCTAATTTCTAATTTATTCTAGTTCTAACAGTAACTGAAACCTTTTTTAATTACCAAAAGGGTATTAGAACAGGTGCTTTAAGTTTGGAAATCTTAAAATTTGAAATTTGGAATTATTATGCCGAAATTTTGAAACGAAATTTTCAAATTTTGACAGATCGGTAGGTAAATCAATAGATCAGTTAACCAACAGATGTCGACAATGGACTGATATGTGGTCAAAGTAGCTAACCGTAAAAAGAAACTGCAAGTAAAATCAAATTATTTTTTTATATATACTGGTAATTATCAAATTTGTAAAATTACATGTTCAAAAACCGATATTTTAAAATTTTCTAAATTCACTGAAAAAAAGAGAAAAATTTTAATTCTGAAAATGATTTTCTTTTTGATCAAGATTATTTCACTTTTAATTTTTGTATGAAATAGTAATTATAGTTTTGTATACAAAAAGGCGTATACTTATCACGAACGAGAAAACTGTGTCAAAGAATAAAATTTAAATTTCATATTTTATTCATGTAAAAAAATGAAGCATATAGTACTGACACAACGGACATGAGCACTGGTGTAGATCAGAAAATTTAGCTGCGATAAACTGCCGATTATGGTCAATCTACTATCTAAATAAATTCTGTAAGAATAGAAAGTAGCGGCATAAATAATTTATTTAGAATAATACGCTTACAGTAGGCGATACAAATATAAAAAGATATTTAATCAATTTACTATACATATAATGAATTTAATATATTTGGTTAATTTATTTTGGTGAACGCACGTTTTTGAATAATTACTATTTAGTGTGCCAATATTTTTACTAACATTTATCTACGTTAAAACAGTTTATAGATTCACAATTTGTTTTTAATGTAGAGCCGACGCTAATGCAATGTCTCGTTCCGAGGGTTTCGACGCAATGCATTAGCACGCAGTATGGGTGACATTATTGTACAGTGCAGTTCTACTAAACGAAATCTCAGTGTTTTGTTTTTTTATTTCTAACTCGAGATCGCCTGTCAAAACAAAATAAACGGTTTCAAAGTAAAAAGCATTGACCGCAAAGGAAAAGCGCGTGAACGGTTTTTAGTGCTTGCATAATTGTCAAAATGTACATACACAATTTAGATTGATGAAAAATCTCTGATTACTAAAATACAAATAACACGCTTGTTTTATGACGTATAGCGGGTCGTTACGATAACATTATTAGTCTTTCCTGTGTTAGAATTTTGTCACTTTTACAACGGTCATTTCTAAAAAAAGAAGAAATATTGACGGTGTTATCGTTCGCAAACATTATGCTTGAAAACTGTTGTTCAGATTTCAATCAACTTCTTACCGTTTGAAACATATTTCGATAACGATTGTCAGTATCTAAGGTAAATGTGACACTGTGATAATGAACATAAAAAGTGTAAGAGAGAGGGAAAGAAAGAGAGAGTAAGGAACCTTTATACGTAGGTGATGCAAATTTCCGCGCTACTACAAGAATAAACGTCAGTTGATTGCGAATTCAATCAAACGGGAGCAAAGTGTACTGTCGTTACATACCTACCGTGTAACAGCCTACGCAGCCGGGGTAAAGCGTGGAAATTATGATCGCCGCTAGGCAGCGCCATTTTCGCTATTGCAGACGGAACTGCAGTCGCGCACGTGTATCCGCCGAGTGAACGACGCCACGCGGTCAAAGCCGGTGTTGCTCCAGTTGCGCGTTTCTTATTCCCTCTTCTTCGTTTTCACACGTGCATCGAGCTGTGCCGTGGCTCGACATGCTCCTACTGCTCAGTGCTTTTTCGGCAGTTAACGAGGAAGTATCTCACCGTTAGTAAGTGCTCATTCGATACGCTGCACGGGGAACAATGCCCGACAAAGTTGCGCCGTCCGAGAGGCAGGTTCTAAGAACCGCCAACACCGATGACGACACGGAAGCTGTGAAATTGAAAAAAGAACTGGGACTGTTGGACGGTGTTGCGATCATCGTCGGTATTATCGTTGGTGCCGGAATTTTTGTCTCGCCAAAAGGCGTTTTACGAAACAGCGGCAGCGTTGGACAGGCTTTGATCGTTTGGATCTTTTCTGGTGTCTTATCTCTGATCGGCGCGCTTTGCTATGCGGAACTAGGTAAGTGATATTAACCAGAAATTAACCAGCTGTTACCATTCGGAATTTCCCATGTGCTCGATCGAAATACGTTAGAAATTAAATTCTCTTAAGTAATTCTAAAATGAAATGAAATTTATTTTTATTTTTTTTTCATGGTGAAGTAATAACATTTATGGTGTGAATTAGTGATGTCGAACAAAACTATTTTTTAATTAAAACTTATCATAGTTATCGACCGTAATATTACAATTTTATAACACATGGTGTGGAAGTAGTTTATTGCAAAGTATATTGCTAGTTAACAAAAGTTATTTGTTTTGAAATATTAATAAAAATCCGATGTGCCTTCTGTTAGGTATTCGTGTTCACATACATATTTCGATTTTATTACCGTTTGCGCTACTCTTGCTCGTCTATGGACAGAGTTTTCGCTTCTTGCATCACCTTTCTTCAAACCGAATGCCAGATATCCCTACGGACATATGTAAATAAGTAGGTCTAATTCATCCTTGTGCTATAAAATTTGTATTTCTTTTTTTAATTCATATATCGACAATGAAATTATGAATTTCAAAATTTTTAAATTAACATTTTCTCACACATACCACCTTTTCCAATTATAAGTAAATAAAATGAAAGAAACAAATGAAATTTATGACTTATAAAAAATCATAAACAACGAAAAAATTCATTTTAATTTGAAAATTACCGCAATGAAATATTAAATAATACATAATACATAATGCAATAATGCAAAGTTCAGCTTTTGCAACAGTTGGTACCATATTCGTCTTTATCGCTATACAGTTTGAATTTTCTCATTATATATATATTAATAATGCTGTTTATAAAAAAATCAAATAAGATTATCTCGAATTAGAACGTTCTGATTAACGTTCTCTTATCATTCTCATAATAAAGAAAAACATGCAAACATGTGTATCATGAATTTACATGATTAAGTTATTGATTACGGCACCAACTTTTTTAAATATTTTTACACATAATTAATATTTAAGTGCATAACATGAAAGTAACTTAAACCGTTAATTACAAAGAATTTTAGAATAAATTATAATATATTATAAAAAAGTAGATTGGACGTTGAGCTGAAGAAAAGGAGCATCAGTGCCAATTACATTTCTATGACTTTTTTTTGTCTTAAGTATAACTATACCTAGTGGCATAATCTTTTATTACTATTTAAAATTATTCTTACAGTAAGATCTTTGCGATAAATTATATTAATTTTATTTACTTTGTCGAAAAAGAATATTGTACAAAGCACATGGTATTTTATTACTGTTACATTTGCCTGTTACATTCGTTTTTAGTATTAATTATGTTTTATATTATGTAATTTAACATATGAACTTTAGAAAAACGATTATGTTTATAAAATTTTATTTGCAATGAAGTATCTTTTATTGCAGCTATTTTTATGATCAATTTGGTTTAAAATTCCTATTACATGCCTACTGCTTACATGTTTCGTAATGTAAATTCTTTGCATATTATAAATTCATATAATGCAGTGACTGGCGACGGAGCGGGGGGGGGTTTACAGCCCTGGGGCGTGCTTTCCAGCAGGCCTCCTATGTACACTGAGTTGCATTGAACTTGTCGCAGTGAAGTTGGCCACGCATTCACTCACCGACGCGGCGTGAATGCGTTAGTGAATTTGTAGCCAACTTCACTGCGACAAGTTCAATGCAACTCAGTGTACATACTTCTATTTACTTCATCAAAAAATATTGCCATTTTCTTTGTGATTGAATGTTAATTATTTTATTTATTAAAGAATATATTTTAATTTTGAAATCAATTTCAAAATATTTTCAATTTTTCAACCAATCTGGTTCTGTTATAATAATTACTTCTAACAAATAACCAATTATTTTATTTAGATATAGTTGATTTAAACGATAGGTGAAAACTTGTTGAAATAATCCGAGAACAGATGTTCACATCTATCAAACTTGTTTATTGCTTTTTAATTAATCGTTTGTTTACGAGCGATGTTATCGATAGTACTCGTATATTATCACATTTCGAAAAAATGATGTGCTTTTGATCGGAATATCTTCTACTTTTTGAAAATTCAATTCATTTTGGGAAACTAATTTGACAAACATAAAATGTTTGCATGTTATAATATTTCATACGTTAAATATATATGTAATATTTTATGAACTCAAGTCATTATTTTTTGTTTTTAAAATAAAAAAATTAAAATTAAAAACTCTACAGCTCTATTTTCTTGGAAAAGTTTAATATTAGTTATGAAAAATATTTTATTTTAAACTTATTTACACATGTATAATAAATATATTTTTGATAATTTGGAAATAATCTAAATCTCAATAATTATCGAAATTTAATAATTAATATTATGAATATTTAATTATTTATTGGCAACAGAGATCTTTTATTCATATATTTGAAGTTGTTTATTAATAAAGAATACAGTAGACTCGTTATATTACCGCGTACGGGACAAAGGGTCGGACAATTTTTTAAGCTTCGAAACTTTTAGTTGGAGAGAAAAAGGAGATAAAATTGTAACCATTTCATAGGCTATGATGGTGGAAGAGTAACATGAGTATGCATGGAAATCTCTGTGAATGTCAGATCGCTCACATAGCAATATAACATAAGTTCACTGTATTATGGAATCTCTGATAATAATTTATGGTCTTTTTTTTAAACTTGTTTCTGGAAAAGTAAATTTACTGATAAATTACGAACAAATGACTAAATCTGTATTTACCCGGAAATTCGTTCTGGTTCGAATAAAATAATCTATTGACCTTTGTCTATCTTTAAATTGTTTGGTAATGATTAAGATACATGTGCACTCATTGTTACCAGTTCCAAGCGTTTTATCAATTACAACCGTTCCAGATGTTCTTGTTCTCGAACATATTCCACATACTGTTTTACTTACATGAAAAATATAAAGATGCATCGTTCTATAGTAACAAAAAACAGTTTTAGGTGTAAATATTCAAAATTACTGTTGGCCATTTTTAAGCAGAGGAAACCAATAATGTACAATACATTGATTTCAGGACGATTTTCTAAAATGTAAATATCTAAGGGTGTAGATCTACGGTTTATCTTACGCAATCAAATCAGACTATTCAATATATAATCAATATATTTAGGGGAAACAGGCGTTTTAAAAATCTTAATTGTGACGATATTAATATTAAAAGTGATTCAGAAACAAAATAGTATGATTTTTTTATTATTAAATATCATAAAATTTAGTATATAAGTGGAAAGTACGAATAACAAAGTAATTATTAACTCAAATTTTTCCACGTAAATGTTTATACGCAAGTGGTGGGAGACCACAGACCTATGTAATATAATGGGTCCCCTTTTGCTGCGTTGGCATTTTTCTGGGCATGCCAACGGGAAATGGAAGAAACCCATGTTAAATCGACGATCTTTGGTATTTCGGCTATGGTTTTGGTCCTTTTTTAGAAAATAATTTTATTTCAACATTTCTAATAATACGAAATAAGGGGAACGAAAGGAATATGTAATTGAGATAGTTATTAAACAAATATGAAGTTGAATAAGGAAAATAAATTATGAGTAAGAAGGACTTGTAATATTCATAATTTTATAGTCTGTACGAAAAAATAAAAAGGAAAAAGAATATTAGGTTAATAATAATTTTACCATGAAAATGTTGCGTTGGAAAGTGAGATGATTTAAGGCAGGTATGCACACAAAACTGCTTAAGGAGCTCTGCGGGCATTTGGGCGCTCGTAGGGCAATTTCATGTGCATGCTTGATCTAAGGTCTTATGGTATTCAGAGCGGAACGGAGGGAAGAAGAAAGTCAATTATTGAAATTATTTTGTGCATGGGGTTGAGTGCATTTAGTGCCTAGGCTTTTGTTTAATTTCTTTTCATAAATACACAATTTAATTTTATTTCATTATAAGAAGATAAGTAGTAAAAAATACTAGTTTCAACTAGTAGTATTTAATGAAGGACAACAACAATAAGAAAAAATAGTTACTTTCTAATTCTGCAAATAATATATCTATAGATTTCAAGGAATTCAAAAATAGCCAAATGATTTAGCAATCATTTAGAGAAAGAAGTTATAAAGGATACCAGTGAAGTATGGAATGCTGGAGTCAACAGGTACAGTATGTACCTGTGTATAACTAACCTTATCAACGTGTTTTGTCATTTTCTTCAGATCACGGTCCATCTGTAAAATTAATCATTGAGAAACTCGATAGCCAAGTCCCTACTGCTTAGATTGCTGTTGATGAAATCGTCTGTAGTCGACACATTCGCACATACACACATTGAGAAGTGCTGTTTCAATATACATGTACTTTATTTCACAACATATTAGTAATGTTATTGCAATTAGTAGATTTTTATGTGTACAGTTTTTTTCTTTTCAAAATCCAAATTTATTAAAATCGAACGCACCTACACCACCATGGTCAACATTTTGGGCATTTTGACAGTGAGTTTTTTATCTGTTTTCAATTTTATATTGTTTTTTATTTCTTGTAATCATAAACGTAATTAGAACTTTTTCTAAGGTGGGTCAAGTCCTTTCGATATTTTGAAATTCTTAATTCTAAAAATAATATTTTTAAACCTCTTTCAGTATATTGTGAAAATTATGGATCTAATACATTAGATTTCGAAATATAATTCAAAGAGAAAGCGTATCGTTTCTTTATTTATAGATTTCAATTAGAACATTCCAAAAAAAAGAGGCAACGAGGCTGTGCAACTTCTTCGCAGATCATGCTCACTTAGAAACTACCTAACTCACGCCTTAGTCAAAACTTTCAAAAATTTAATAGCATAAATGTCACATATAAATGTATATACATATACATACATATATAAAACCTCTAATTCCAAATTTGAGGTATTTTCGACCATCCAATTCAAACTTTAATTAATTATCGTACTTGACCTATTATGTACCTAAATACTATAACACTACACTGATCAAATCAGGCATCC